AAGAAGTCAAGAGTTGAAGCCGTTCACATGTCCTTCTACACGATCTCCTCAACTAAGTACTGAAGGGATTGCAAGTAAGACATATCTTATCCAAAGTGTCCCAGACTCCTCTATAAAAGAATGAGTCTGAGATACTTTGGAGGGGGTATCTGTAGGCGTCTAAAAATACTTATAGATATCCAAATATAGCTCAAGACAAAGAGAAGACTATGAATGTTATTATCTAAGTCAGAGGGGATTATCCAAAGCCAAAAGAAGCAAAGAAACGAGTGAAGCAACATAGAAGAACAACGTGAATACACATAACAAGGTACACTGATGAGCGTTGGCGCGACAGTCGTTACTGACGCGCATTGGCGCGACAGTCATTACTGACACGCGTTAGTGCGGCAATCATCACTGACGCGCGTATGCGCGGCAATAGAGTGTGGCGCGCGTCTTCATGGGATGTCTTTTTGTGATTTGTTGACGGTTTTGAGCATCTTTTGAGAGTCCACGTGGCATCATAACAAAAGAAGAACGTGTGCTAACGTGGGGGATGGTAATAGATCAAGAAAAGTGGTATTTCACGTCCTAAAGACGTGGGAGAATGGTTTCAAACATGACCAAATGTGGCAGAAACCGCCTCTTTAGCCGTGTCAGTCCACACTGACGTGCTAATGGCCACGGCAGTGGAGACTGACGCGCCCAAAGAAGATGCGATGGATTGGTTATTTGGCTCCCGTTTCAACAGTTAGAGGCCCCTATCCCTATAAATACATTCCTAGACACGAATCTGAGAGGGAGAGAGAGAGCATATTGGAGCAGAGAAGCTTAAGCTTTTGGTGAATTTGAGCAAGAGAGAGAGTCTTCATTCTTCACAAACATCCTTAAGAAGCTTTTGGCGATTCCTAAAGATCTAAGCTCTGACTTGATCTTTGGAAGAGTGAACATCTTACATCGATAAGATATTCGCTTAAGATTCTTACTTCGATAAACGAAGAAGAATATCTAAAAGCCTTCACGGTTCAATCAGAATCTGTGAATCGGTGGTCCAAGGGTTAATGCACCCCCGGCACAGGCAAAGATCCCACAAAAGTAGGAGTTGATAAACAATTTATGTGTTTTCTAGAAAGTTGTAATTTTCTTCTTATTGTGTAAGAGATGTCTTATAAAAAGGTTATTTTCTTTTGAATTCATTGTAAATAATCAAAAATATAACGAATTCCATAATGAAGCTAACTTTCGACGAAAACAATTGGCAGTGCTCGAGCAGTGTCGCAATGAGCCTCTCGTAATGGCACTGAGGAATTGCCTCGTAGAACGCGTGTTTGCAAGTCAAGCGTCCTCTGAGATCCCATGTAGGTTGATAGTGACAACCCCCAGTGTCAGAAAGACCAAACGAGTGCTTGCAAGAAGAGGGCTCAAGAGAGCACTTGGGAGAACACTTGGGAAAATCTCCAAGTGTTGAAATCTGGCGAGCTCGCCCTGACAGGCAAGCTTGGGCCCGTTGGCGAGGTTCATGCTGGTGAGGCTCGCCTGTTAGGCGAGTTTGGTGCATTGTGCTTGTCTGGCGAGCTGCTGCTTTGCCTTTCTGGCGAATGTCGGCTTGCAGACGAAGTTGGTCCGTCAGGCGAGCTTGGTGAAATCCTCCTGTTTGAGCTTGCATGCGAGCTTGGGTTATCAGGCGAGCTTGGTGAAATTCACTTGTTTTATGAAGTCCGCCTGAACTGCAGAGTTCACCATACTTGTGAAGTTTGCCAGATTTGGGAACCTCGCCTGAAGAGTGGATTCCGCCTGAGTAGGTGGGCTCGCCTGATTTGAGCGGTTCGCCAAAATTGGGAACCTTGCTCATGGACCGAATCTTGTGGGGCTCGCCTGAACTGTTAGTATCGTCGAGAACACCAAGTTCGCCAATTTTGGGAACTTTGTCAACAGAGCAAAACCCGCCTGAGTAGGTGGGCTCGCCTGATCGATCCAGTTCACAAAAATTGGGAAACTTGTGTTTTGGCTTGGCTCTTTTGGAGAGGGGAGCGTTCATGTTGACGACGAAGGCGAGGTTCGCACCGACATGAACCGTCGTCTCCTCTTGCATGGGGGCCTGTGAGGATCGTTCAACGACCCCTCGTGCAGCCCTTGAACTTGCATCCTTTGCCTTCGGCTCAGCCGTGTGGGCTTGGGGGAGATAGAACCCCCTATGTTTGCTCGGGCGGAGTTCTCCGACGTGGTTGCCTCGGCCACTTGGGGCTGGGCCACACGCGCAACTCTGTAGCACTTGCGAGACGTATTGCCACCAGAAGAGGATGAAGATAAGTACTCCTCGAACTCAATCACGAGGGACTCAACAGTAGTCCCCGCTGTAATTTCATCGAACTGCACCACCACCATTTCAGTTGAGGAAATAGTTTCTCCCACTGTGGTCGCCATCTTCTGTAGGTGTAAATTTTGATTTCCCAAAACAGGAATTTCGTTTGTATTAATAAAAATAGCTTATTATAAACTAATGAATCAAAATTATAACAGAAGCGGAGGGAATGCCCTCCTTGTTTAACGTGGGGACTTTGGTAGCGATATGACGCCTCCCTCGGTTCTCTCGCCGAGTTTGCTTCCCTTGGACGATCCGATCGAAGTTGCGGGCAAGCTTCAGTATGTAGGAGAAGCTTGTGCTGATCGAGTTTGACTATACTCGAGGCCAAACGGGGAGCTTGTGCTTGTCGACTGACTGCTTGAAGAGAGCTACCATGCAAGAGCTTGCAAAGAGCCTAAGAGCCTCAAGTCTGAGAGTTCAGACGAGTCTCTTCAAATGAGGGAGCCTTTAGCAAATGAGCCAAGGTTCAACCTTTGGAAGATTAGCCAACCAAGCCAGCAGCAGCTAATCCCCCTCTTTCACGTTGGCTGAAAGTGGCTTTAAATAGGCAAGGGATGGCATGAGTCATCCATCGATTTGTAAGATTTGACCACTAGTTGGGGTGAGGGAGCCAGTCGCCCTAGTTGTGGGATGTAAACACTTAGAGGGGCCTGTCAGCCGCCCTATTCTTGCTAGGTGAGGAGCGCCATGCTTTCTCTCTTGATTCATGGAATTTGACCACTGATGTGACTGTTTCCATAGTCCAAGTGGGCAGGTGACAATGATGACGGGTTTCTAGTTGTTAGGCGAGCTTAGTCCGCGCAGGCGAGGTGCAGGCTGTCAGGCGAGCTTGTTCTTCAGGCGAGCTCGAACATTCGTGCCGGCGAGCCGGTCAAACAAGTGAGTTTCGAGCTGTCAGGCGAGCTAGGCTTTCAGGCGAGCTTGGTTCAATGTGCAGGCGAGGCTATGCAGGCGAGCTGTGCAGGCGAAGCTGTGCATGCGAGCTGTACAGGCGAATCTCATTCAAGCGAGCTTCAATATTGTTAGGCGAGCTCTATCATTGCATACGGACTTCCTTGCAGGCGAGCTTCAGCCTTTACAGGCGAGCTTCAGCCTTTAGGCGAGCTACTGAACATGCTTCGAAGAATAGGTCATAACTTTCAAACCGTAAGTCGGAATTGGATGAATTATATATGAAAATTGACTATCTCGGCGAGACGGAGCCGACCAAACCAACCTCATAAGGTTCGGTTTGCTCCTGTCCGTTTTACCAAATTCCTTCCGGTTTGAGAGATATCAGCGTTTTTTTCCTTTTTGCTATTTCGGGTGAGGTTTTAGCAGTTTTGTTCTGAACTTCTCTGATAGGGATTAAAGATAATTTTTATTGCCTACAGCAATTCATTAACTAATTCATTGAAAGTACATAATTTTGTTATAAACAACGGTCTCGTCACACCTTCTTCATAAACGAGCATATTATTTTCAAGATTGTTAAACTTCCCATCATATGAATAAAGAATTACGATTCGATCGTTCATCATTACCTCTGAAGAGTAAAAAATTCACGATCAATATTACACGAAAAAAAATTACGATTCGATCGTTCATCATTACCTCTGAAGAGTAAAAAATTCACGATCAATATTACACGAAAAAACTTTAAAAAAATGTTACTTACCATTAAATCTGAAGAGTAAAAAATTCACGATCAATATTACACGAAAAAACTTTAAAAAAATGTTACTTACCATTAAATCATATCATATCAATTTTAAAAACCCATAATTTTAACCAAATTCATATATCAATATCAAACATATGTAGTAAAACTAACATTTACATTTTTTATAATTTCCCCTCTAAATACACAATTAATTAAATTTTCTTCACAAAAATAATTCACAAGTAATTCCTAAAATCTAATTTTTTCCAAGTAATCATCATGATATAGTGAGAATATACAAGAATTTAGGAGGAATTTTTAAAAAAGATTTTACCTTAAAATTTTCCTAATTTTCGGTGATCTCCTGCGATGACGGCGGCAAGAACTACGGTGAG